TCTTCGTTTACTATGAGAGAGCGTTTGACAGCATCGAGACTAATGCCATACTGTCAGCGCTCGTCGACAAAGGGAACCCATCTTACGTGAGGACACTGGCCGAGTGCTACAGGAACTGCTCTACAGCTTTTCCATCGTCCCCTTAACATACCAATCTTGAAGGGGGTTCGACAAAGCGAACCGTGCGAACCGCCAAAGCTGTTTACCGCCGCGTTGCAGTGGGTGATGAAATCACTGGATTGGAACGAGAGAGGTATACGAGTTATGGGAAGTTCCTCTGAACATTCGTTTTGCGGACGACATTGTTCTCTTCTCATGAGATATCACTGAAGCGGAAACGATCTGATGTAACTAAACGAAGTAGGGAAGCAGATAGGACTGCAAACCAACCGGAAAAAGACTCAGTTCATGAAGAACGCTTTTTGCGAGGATCAGGAAATGGAAGAAGGCTCTCGCGAAGACGTCTTCTTACGTATATCTCGGGCGATGAACATGGAGGATCTGAAAGAAAACAGGAGGCAAAGAGCAGCTAGAGCTGCCTTCGGGCCCCTAAAGGAAGCCACTGACCAGCTGACGGACCCAAATTTCCGAGCCCACCTGTTCGATTCAACTGTTCTCCCTGCGCTCTGCTACGCAGCAGAGACGTGGCTTGACATTGTGGCTACATCAAAGGCTCTCCAAACAGCCCACAGAGCGCTGGAACGACGTCTTTTGAAGTACAACCGACGTACTCAACATTTCATCGGACTTCGCAGTTCAGATATAAGATCAATGTTTCGTCTTCGCGATCCAGCGGAAAACGTCTCTGGGGCAAAGTATCAATGGGCTGGTGTTATAATGAGAAGGACAGTCGACCGATGGACACCAAGAACTATGGAATGGATTTCTCGCGAAGCAAAACGTCCTCGAGGGAGGTCATCAGCCAGATGGGCTTACGTGTTCGTTACACGGATGGACCAGCTGAATTCTCCGCTGGTAAGGAATGGATGTGGACCTCGCAAACGTCGCCGCCGCAGTTCAATACTAACATCGTGGATGACGATAGCGAGAGATAGAAACGGATGGAAACAGTGCTGTGGCCTGTACGACAATCAAAGACAGGCCATTTAAGTATCTAAGTAAGTAAGTAATTAAAGTGAAGTACTACATATTATATATTATTCGAAAAAGGGGATTTTCCTCTTTCTAGTTTATGCTCTCGAAAGTGCTACAACAGCAGGATTTTCACTCCAAGG